TCTTCCTTGTATAGCTTAGTGTGTATGCATGGCCTCTAGGGAAACACATGCAGCTTAGACCAGGTGTGACCATGACAGTCTGTGAAGTGCATACTTCATATTTTTTTGTTCTTGTTCTCATGCTGAAATTCACGCCCTGTCTTACACATATGGATACTTTTTTCCAATTTTTTTTACCCCACTGACATAAGTCAAGCAGGTATATGCAGAGTTCTCCTAGGAAGAAGATAGTTTTGGTACACAATGGGAAAATGAAGCACTGGTCACTGTCACATGAAGTAGCAGGCTTATGGGAATGATCTGAAGATGATTTTTGGAGGGATTGGCCCCTTCACAGCAAAATCCTCAACAATCCTCCACGTAGTTCCAACAGGAGTGCATATTTTGTAATTCATCGTGATTCATTCTAGGTGCTTGAGAAAGAGTTAATGTGCAGTCCATTCCCTCCCCTTAAGGTAAAATGTCCCTTTAAAAAACAGATTTTTGAATGGGAACTCAGTATTTTAGACTAGGATATATATATAGGCATATGTCCCACTATACCTGCTCTGCCTTGAGAACCTCTTTCAGTTTTGAAAGCTGGTGTCAACAAGTTAGATGGCAATTAAGAAATTACCAGTAATTAGTTCAATTTTTCTCAATGTGTCTGAGCTTTCAAATTCCAATATTTTGTTTTAGGTTCTCAAAATAATTTAGAATAAGTAATTAACATTCAGAAAAGTAGTCACTCTAAATTGATACTGTAGTTTAACAAACTATGGGCAGCCTCTGGAGAAGGGGCCTGGAGTTTTGACAGACAGATGAGAAAGGTGTCAACTCATTTTTCCTTGGGAAAAAAGTGCAGAGGGAGTTCACATTGCACCTTCCTGGGCACCTATAAGTTTGGAGCAAAGTGCAAAATGTGCACTTTGGCGGATAGTAAATGAGATGGGGGAATATATATGGATTACACTGCAGAGAGTGTTGAAATCAGCTGTGAAAAGATCACCTTCACCTTTCTTTTTTCTTGACAGTTCTTCTGACCAAAGATGGGTAGCTTGTATTTAGAACATATTCTGGGCAGAGTTCAGGTTGGTACCATTGAACAAGCTGTAGGTTGTTGGGATGGCTTGTTGCTCATGTACAAACCATCCGAGAGAAATCAGTCTAGTGTCACACTACACAACCATGAGAAGGACCCCATGATAGGTTTTCATAACATGCCAGCCTGATCAATGAGATGTTTGCAGATGATTGCAAGGTGGCTCAGTATGACAAATGTACAGTTTTTCTGTTTTAGAATTTTTTGACAACAAGGTATTCTGAGAATAAATACCTTATCATGAGGTTGTTTAGGGTGGCTTGTACTCAAGTAGCATCTTGTGACTTGTGAACCTAGTAGGGCAATTCTACTGTGGGTTGTTGTGGATGGCTAAAGAACCAGTTGTCAAGATGCAGGAAGAACTCCTTCATCTGGTCAGGTAATGGGAGGTGAAGCAAGTCGAGCAGTTATGAACTCTCCGGTGTTCACATTATCTAGCTCTCCAGTGGATATAGAAATCCCTCCAGACTACCAACCTGATCTTTCAGAGGGCGATCCCAGCCAGAACAGGCAGTGAACCTATCTTCAGATCTTGGGAACCCCCTCACCCATCTTGCCAGGATTTTGCTTCAGTTTACTGACTCTTATCCAGTCCATTACTGAGTCCAGACATGGATCTAGGACTTTCACAGGCTCTGTTGGTTCTGTTATCACAGGCAGACAGAGCTGTGTGGCATCAGTGTACTGATAGCACTTGCCCTGAAATCCCCTGATGACCTCTCCCAGTGGTTTCATATAAATGGTAAGCAACACCGGGGATAGGACAGTACTGTGTGGAACCCAGAGTTTGGTGCCAAGGAATAGTCAAGGGTGCTAAGGAATAGTCACCCAATGTTACTCTCCAAAATCAGCTCTGCAGGTCGATGGTATTAAAAGCTGATGAGAGATCAAGTACAATTAACAGGATCACACTTCTTATCCCTCTTCTGATAAAGACCATCTTATCAGGTGACTAAGGCTGATTTGGATTTATTGCTTTTCCTTGAAGTTTGCACAATTTCCCCTGTAGTTGTATCGCTTTGCCATACATTTAGTAGTCCTTTTCACTGCACTGTAATTCTCATATGACCTTGATAGCTATCAACAGAGAGAAGGCACTTTAGAGGTGGATGTTATTACATTACTAGAATGTAAAGCAGTCAGGTGTTTGCTGGCAAACGAAGCTCAGAAGTGGAGGATGCAACTGAAAAGGATAAATATTTCCTTTTTGCTACCTGATGTGGAGCATGAGGAGTTTTGCTTGGGAAGCACCTAAGGCAAAACTAAAGAGGCTTAGGAGGAGATTATGGCTATACTGGAGTCAACAGTGCAACTTTTGTGCAAGACCTTGTAAAATAATAGTTGTAAACATGCTCCTAAGGGCTCAGAAACTTAACTTTCTTAAGCGATCTGATGGGCAGGGGGTGGGGTGGAGGTGGGATTTCTCTTGGTAGCCAGCA